TTTCCCAAGCCACCATACCTCCCAGAAGCCGCGACCTGAGCTAAATTGCCTTCATTGTCATTCCGAACGCGACGAGCTGTGTTGGGAGCTCCTGCCGCTGTACCTCTCAACGCAGACATGCCCTGCTGGGCCTCCATCTTTCCTTTTCTTATAATTTCTTCGTCAGCTGTGCTTTGATTCCGTGACATATCAAAAACATTCATCATGTTTCCTCGAACATTTTCGCCAATGCCTATTGAAGGATCGGCAAAATAGTAGGAGAAGTGCTTAGAAATGCGCTTGCCATGAACCACATGATATGCTTCTCTGGTGAAATGAAAAATCAAAATCGAATTAACTGAGAGTATATCAACTGGACTGGCTTGATCTTGTTTGAGGTAGATCCTGTGTGGGTGGCTTCGCCTGCGCCCTGGTTAGGTCCTTTGGCGGAAGACATCGTATAGATGGACACGTAGTCGAGGACCGACTTATGATCTGCATTTTATGTAGAAAATGTGATGAGCTCATCGCATTGCGCTGGAGTGACGTAGAGCACAAAGCAGTGCTGGAAGGAAGCTTATAAGATAAGATAAGATCTAGCTTTTTGCCAAACCATGACCCAAACAAAACTAGTACTTCGAGATCGCCGTCGCAACTTGAAGTCTATCCAGTTGTAATGTTACCTCCATTCAATTTGCCTGAAGGCATTGTTCTCCTAATCACGGACGAGCTGTCTTCTCCTGGCGATTTCATTCTTCATCGGCTGTTGTCATCTCACTTCAAGGACTCGAAAAATCCTCAAGGTGTTATTCTTTCAGTTTCTGAAGGAGTTGAACGGTGGAGAGCTGTTGCTGCTAAATCTGTACGCACCAATATAGTCTCTCGTATGATGCTGATCTCCTTTTTTCTGTCAGAATGTCAATATAACACAGCATATAAGCTCAGGCGCCCTTACTTTTGTAGATGTTATGTCTCATGTACGATCTTCCCTTGATTCCGGTCAACCAAGTTTGCGCCCAGTATACGACCTGATTGCTTCCAAATTGCGCGCAATTGAGGAGCATTTGTTCATTATCTTTGATGATATCGCCTCTTTGCAGTGGGTTGGATTCCCTATCCTTGACATCAGCCGCTTTGCTCGATCACTACGTGCGTTATCTCATCAGGTTGGATTTCTTGGAATAAGCTTCCGTCACAAAGTTGATCTCCTTTAGACACGCAGTACTCTTGTGATTCGACACCACAACGTAACACCCGAAGAACCGGATGACCTTTTCCGACACTTGTTACATCTTTGTACATACCACTTAGAAGTCCTTCCATTATCCAGCGGTAAAAGTGGATCTGTTAGTGGAGAGGTATGTTATCACTTCCTCGTCTCGTAGCTGGATCCAAAAAAATTTCAGATTGCACTTCATCCGGGGATGAGTACGTCAGCAGCTGGTATCAAGTTGATACCGCGTTCCTCTGCTGTCCAGTATAGACTTACAGATACCGGCGCCAATTACTTTGATCGTGGTACAGGTGGTGGCATCTTGTAATATTGCTTTTCAATTCCTATCTCTCCCTGTTTGACGGAAGTGACTCGCAGTCGAGGAAGTTTGCGGGAGCACGCGGGCTGATGCGCCCCTTGGCTGAGTCAAGCCTTATGGCGTCTAATTTTTGATCTTCTCATGTAAACCGAGGGAACGGAAGAAAAAGTCAGCAGACCCTTCGAAATCCACTCCTGCACCCTTCCCTCATCATGCGTCGATTCAGTTCTCTCATTAAGTTCTCTGCCCATCCTAGCGAGTTTGTTCTCACTCCCCCAACCATTACTGAGGAAAACAAAACACCCGCCACTGCTGATCATGATGAGGTTTTGCCTGTGCCGTCACTTCAGGTTAAACGTGTGGATCGCTACTACAGTCGATGGTCGAAGAGCTGGAAGTACCGTGTAAGGGCTTCTGGTGATATATGTTTACATGATCTAATTCAATCTACATTAGAACATGAGCTCCAAGGTTACCATCGAAGCGGTTCCTTTGTTGCACTCTGGAAATAACGATCCTTGGAGAGATTGCAGTTTCGTGTAAGTAAAAACATGCCTGGCTACTAATGTGTATGCATACCGTCGTTCCATCAGATTGGTTCGCAATATTCCTAGGGTGGATATTGAGGAGCCTTTTTTTAAGATCGTTGTCAAGAGTGGTTACATATTGAAGGCCTGCCAGGATGTCGTTCAGACATGGCCTGGAATATCTTGGAATGCAGAACCTCTTGAGGTACGGAAGCAAACTCTGTTACGTATTCACACAGTAAGACCTTATAGCTCGATCCGGAAATGTTTATTACCTTCTTTGAGAAGTTCGGCGAGTACCGCGATGGTTTGGTGTCGAAGAAATCGAAGACAGAACGCGATGACCATATGATCTCCAGTGTCAACCTGCTTCTGTCCACGATCTCGACGGATTATCGCGCGACTCTTGCAACAATTGATCGTCTTACCTCTCATGGAGAAATCACGTTTGAACTCTTGTATGCCATTCTCATTCCTCGCACTCTTTTCGTCGCCACCTGTGCCATCACAAGCAACAAACGCTTATTCAAGCTAGTATCTGCCACGTGTATTACCACAGACGGAAAGCCAGTGTACCAACTACACTGCGAGAGCTACGATCTCGTTGATAGGTTCGGCCGAACCGCCAGTATTGGAAAAGTCTTCACTACAATCCTTCTGCATTCCTTCAAGGGCGCCACAAAAATACAAGAACTAGATGTCTACCCTCTAAAGTACCATTCAAACCCGGACAAGCTGCGCGCGGCTCTACTGACGCGCGGTAAGAAATGGGTTAGTCTAATCGGAGTCCATCATATGGAGTATAATGGCATTGCTGCATCTAAACGCCGCTCAAAGATCATAAAGCACAATGTAAGTTTCGCCTCTGACTGCAAGACATGAATCATTTGTTGCTAATATATTACTTGCAGGTTGACGGTCGGATTATGATTGATAGAGGTAATTTCACCATTTTGGAAGGAGATTATACGGATTGCTAAACGTTCCGGTCTACAGACGCTTTCCGCCGAATGAATCCTAACTATCAGTACCCTCTCGAGTACGCAGCTTCTGCAATGAGCCCTCTTCTATATCTTCCACCTCAAACTTCCGTTGAATCTCTGCACGGAACTCATGGAAGGGGTCCCCCTCAGCCTAATTCTGTCCTTCCATTACCCCCAAGTTTTAATCCGTTTTCCTGGAGCCCACATGCTAATGGTATGTGGTCATCAAGAATCGAAAACAGTGCTGACCAGATAGATCTACACAGGTACTTTGGTGCAATCCACCCCCGCCAATGAAGCCTTGTCCAATAGTGAGCTTACCGATGAAGACCTGATTTTGTCATCGACGGTGGCGTATGGATTTAGTCTTTCTGATAAATTGTGGTGTGCGTTGCTCAAATTGCTTGATTTTCGTCTATTTGATTGAATATTTGGCTGTAGTGGAATTCGACGTCGAACAAGTCCAACCCGTCGAGTGGAATGAGGATGCATTCGCAAACCTCGTACTTCCATCGGATCACAAAGATCTCTTACGCTCTCTCGTCGAAGCCCATCATCGCGAACTTGGATTTGACGATTTCATCAAAGGCAAAGGACACGGTCTTGTCATCAATCTCTTCGGGCCTCCTGGAGTCGGTAAGCTAACATCATGTTTAAGTATAATTCATGCTCATTTCATTCCGCAGGAAAGACTTTCTCGGCTGAAGCCACCAGCGAGCATGTTAAGCGACCACTCTATGTCGTTGGTGGAGGCGACCTTGGCACTAGGGCCGCTGACATGGACATTATACT